ATTCGTGCCTCGATGTCAACAAATAATTGATGTAATATTAACTGGTCTCGGTGTTGTCCAGATTTAGATCCCATTGAAAATTTATGGGGGATTTTAGCAGCCATTGTTTATCGAAATGGGAAACAATACGAATCCGTAAATTTAATAACCTTACAACCTTTAATGGGCTGACTCATTCCCTATATTAAGTAAAGCTATTTTTGAACAATTTCAAGTTTGATTATTATTACAGTATATTCCTTCTGGTCTCGATACGACAAGTCCTTTTAATTATAGCGGCAACTAATTACAAAACATTTTCAATAAGTATATAAGTAATAATTTTCAACAAAAGTATACGAAACACCCTGTAATATAAGTGCCGGCGTTACATTTGATATACTGTATTACTTTTAAACAGACCACTATATTGTATTGACGAAACTGCCTTTACACGCGGGACGAATATAAAGTCGAATTAACTGGTTCGTCGTCCGTAGCGATAAGTATTTAATTACTTCATTTTATTGTTTTAATACAATTAAAACCGTGCCGAAAATGCCAATTTATTTTTCTTCGACCAGGCCCTACCAGCCGCGGAATTTAAGTTACGTCATTTCTCTATTCGACCGGCTTATGCATTACTTTCGAAAAACGGTTATAATAAGAGATTGGTTTACGTAATTTATTCGATTTTTACTTTAAATACACCCGTAATTCGCTCCTTGTCAAAAAGAGTGGTTCTTAATTCGTAAGTTTTTATTTATGAGTCTGTCTACATTCCTACCGGGTGGTTTTAATTAAAAAGGTGTTTAAAACTCTGCGTAGAATGAACTAATGGACCAAATTCGACAAAAATTTGCCTGCATATTTCTTGACCCTGGTGTTTTGATTTCGCAAATAAAAAAATTTAGTTTCGAAATTTGCCGATAGTGGGAAATTTAGCGCTAATGTTGCTGCTATTAATAGTTTGTTAAAGAAATTCGAGCAATACTTAAGTCGAGACACAAAGCGCAATCATGTTTTGCAATTTAGTGTGTAAAGTAGATTCCACGAACCCATGTCCTCCCACCGACGGGCTCGAGATGGCCTGGACCGGTCCCCGTAACAATGGAATGCTGCGATTGTCGGTGGTTATCGGTTCGAAGAACGCCTGCAACTACCTATCGCGGCGGTGGTTTAATGGTTCGGATAGGGATTGCCGTCGACGGTCGCGCCGATCTCCACCTAGCTTCCCTGGAGGAGTGTGACTGCGGTGCTACGATATGTTGGCCAATTTCTCCATGCCATTTGTATGCACGATAAAGCGCGAATTCATAGGCCAGTTATTGGCCAGCACTTAAATTAGGAAAGCGCTTGGCATGGAATGGTCAGAGAGATCATCCAACTCGAATCCCATCGAGAATGTTTAGTTTTTCTCCGGAATCTTTACGAGCTAAGAACGTGAGGCACAGATACTCCAAACCACCATAGATGATGTTATTGTTGGCGCGTCGCTTTAGCAAAGGTAATCACATTCCGTATTGACAGATTTCCATCAATGAACTCTACATTTTCCCATCCCATGTCTTTTGTTACCTACACCCCACGCTCTGCGAAAGTTTCACTGATTTGGAATAAATATTTTTCTTTATATCCGCTTTTTACACTTTATTACTTAACTTTTGAACATTTACTTTCTGTCTTTCCATTCGATTATCAGTTTTCTTCGACGAAAAAGTGGAATTATTTGGCAATTTTTTACATTTTTCTAAGTCATTGGATGTCGTAAAACATATTTTAATCCGTAAGAGTAAAATTCCTCTATGTTCACGCTAAAATGACTTAAACAATCGATTATAATGAAAATGAATGCATTTCCAATTCATTTAAATTAGGGGAATTAGCGGTTCAATTTCGGATGTCGCGCCGCGTAGCACCGACCGTATATTATTTAATTCGATTGTTCGGTTGCGACAATGTCTTACTATTACACACGCCAATGACGAAACAGTAAATTGCAGTTTATATTCGATTAAACGTGTGACGAAATCGATTTAGACCAGAGGTTGTTAACCCGGGACTCGGCCGTCTTTGGGAGAGGTGCGAATATAAACAAATGCGAAGACGATCCGTTCAGATTGTCTTCGCCTACTACCCTATTTAAACTATGGTAAATTAGCCACGTAAATGCATCGTTTATGCAGAAATTCCGTTAATCGGGGTCGGATCGAGTGGGATCTTGGTATTCAAGGTCGCCGAGAGAAAAGAATTTGTGCATTACTTACAATTTTAAACAACTTTAAGTAATACACGATAAGAAAAATAGTCATTATTCTTCAGTTTTCTCGTAGAAGAATGTTACGCTCGCGGTCTAGTAACAGTTACGTTACCGCTTTCGTATAGAGAGGATGGAACCCGCCGCATTACGGTTGGAACAAATCGTGTGTCTAATTAGGCGCGCTGCTTATAAAGGTGAGAACGTTAAAAATCTTCCTGTTAATTAACTTCTTAACAACGGTCACTTTTTACGTTCTCGTCAGCGGCCGTTATTCACGGGTTTGACTGTACAGTATTATCATCGATTCATTTTGCAGAGTTACTCTTTATTTTATTCTAAAATTGTCAACACGGACTTATCGGATTAATGGGACTATTACGCCGGTGTAGTGGCTTTTAACAAAAGGAGTTCTTAATCCGAAAATCAAAAATCTTTATTTTTTCAACCGTAGTAGTTTTACCCGTTAATATTAATCCGATAAATGCACGTTGACAATTTTAGAATAAAATACGAGCGAATGACGTTAAGGCACGTAAATTTACTCTTTATTAGAGAGGTTGCGGCAGACGTTTTCAACACGAAAACGTGTACGTCGGACGTTCAGCGCCGCTTTCCTAAAGGACTAGAAGTTTGGCAATGGTGTTTGGAACGTCAAGCATGATTCCACTGACTATCCAAACACCATTGTCAAACTTCTAGGCTTATAGGAATGCGACGCCGAACGTCCGACGTACACGTTTTCGCGTTGAAAACGTCGGCCGCAACCTCTCTATTTATTTACTATTTTTACTTTTCCTTCTCTGTTATATCTAACAGAGGTCGGTCAAAAAATGGCCTCGCGACTTTAGATTTTTGAACTCGGGACACCGCGAAACGTCGACAAATGCAAACAAATTCCAGGGTTTTTCTGTACGTATAGTGCGTTTTGTCCACTCTGTTTGAAGTTTAATAACTCCCGCGCTTTTTGTCAAAAATTTCTTAAATTTTGCATAGAGATTTGGTTATTAGGGGATCGATGCCGTTAAATTTTGGTGGTCGAAGGTGGTGGGGACATATAAATGGGTCACGCGTCGTATTTCGAGAGGGGACAGACCTAATAAAGAGTTTACTCGTTATTAGCATTTACAAATTAAAAAAAAAAAAAAAAACATTAAAACTCATTCCTACCTTCAAAATTAGGCATTTTGCCATTTTATAATGCAACGGAGCATAGATTATCCGAATACCTATCGAGCAAAAGCGTTCGAATTTCCACTAGTGCTGTGGCTCTGCAATATTTGCCTGTCTCGACCAGAGTTCAAACTTAGCTAGAGCCAGTATTTGCCGCTAGTTAGCGCCTCGGTCGGTAGAAGAGCTTTTTCTGGCTTGGGATATACTGGCGAGTCAGTCATTTCCACCTATAATACTTGTTTTTTACGCTACGTAAAAATGTCGGCGCGCTTTGTGCCAGGATGCGAGGCGGGATATAAGTCATCGAACGACGAGAGACATTTCGTCCGTGTTCCTAGCGATAAGATCGAAGCGTGGATGCCACGCATTCCACCAGACCACAAGGTGCTAACAAGTAATTGTTACGTTTGTGACGTACATTTCACGAGTAAATTTATTTTAAAAACTTACTTTCGTGTTATAAATGGAGAGAGGGTAAAAATTCCACGCGATCGCGGGGCATTAGCGTCGGACGCGTATCCATCGAAGTGGCCCACCGGTGGCCGAGCGGTTCCGTTCGCCCAACGCTAGGCGTTCGGTGGTGGGTTAGTGCCCGGCCACGCGGAGTTATCCGTGTTTTCTCCGCGTCCGTAAGGCCCGAATACGGATCGATTACCCTTAAAAGCGTTCCCCTTAGGCGGGTCGCTCCAGTGTGGCGTCGCCGTAATTTTACAAAACAAACATCCGTGTCGCATCGTAACCCTTCTAAGTAAGTACATTAGTAAGTTCGTGCCTGAAAAACGACCAACGCAACGTCTAACAACAGACGAAGAACCATCTAGGAAGAGCTGACAAAAATATAATACCAAAGGTAATAAACGTTTGTTATCTAATCTTAAAGGAAGGTGGGACGACGGATAGAAAAGCGTTAGGGCGCGACTGCGCGGAGTCGAATTTAATAGCGAGCGATAGTTCTGGCGAAGGGAAACAATGCGCGAGCGAGAAGCGAGAAATCTGGCCGGCCAGAGCGAATTTCTGCTTGTCGCGCGTACCTGACAGGAGCTTTAAATAACTTTACCGAAAATCGGTGCACTACAACTTTAGAACGATGAATGAAATGTGATATCAAACTCCCATTAAATAAATAATTAATTGTTAATCACGCTTCATTAAAGGTAGATTAAAATCGCGATAAATTTTTTTCGCGAGGGAAAAAATTTTTGGAAAAATTTGGAGACTTAAAAAACATTCCAAAGATGCAAAAAAATTTTTTTGGGAAGCCGAAAGGACCGAGTTTTCTGTAACGCTACGTAACCTGCCCGAGTTACCTCGTGTGGATTTAGTCCTCGATCGAACAGTCGAAGGGGAATCGGTAACATTCGCATCCGGTAGCGGATTCGGAAATCTTTAGAGCTGGTTGAGAAAGGAAAGAATACGAGTTAGAAAGTTTGTTTGCTATCCGAAGAACTTTTCTGAAAAACACCCAAAACGGGCGTTTTTCGGAAAAGACAGCTTGGATTCGGACAGAAGAGGCCAACGAGGCCTCTTTTCCGGCTTAAACGCCCGAGAAATTCGACGTTCGATCGGATTTACCTCTGTAAAGTGCATTTAGTTATCGAAGGGTCGAAAGTCGTTATCGCGCGATGACGAAGGACGCGCGATAGAGTTAGATTGACTACGTCACCGTCGCTATTTATTTAGGAACGGAGCGACGAAGATCGCTTAGAAAAGAATGGAAACCGTTTTGGCCGTGGTGGCGCTAATAGCGATCTATTCCGTCCATCGTCTCTTCGCGCGGGCCGGCGCAGACGAGAAGTCAACTCGTACAGGTATCGTCACTTCCTCCCTTACGTTATTGTTTATAAAGTAACTCGCAGCCGGAAACGCGGAGGTTAACTTATAACTTCCGGAATTACGTACGGATGGCGAAAATCGATAACGCCTCTCTATTTCCGATCCTCGACGGAACTCGAACAATTCGTAAACGGGGGTAGAAGTCACGCGGAGTTGTAGAAATGTTGTGAGTGTGCGGGAACGGTGCGACGTAATTAAAGGAGATGACGCCATTGAAACGACCTTTACCGTTTGATAGGAGGAAAAGCCGGGATTCGAGATAAAAAAAATCATTTTCCGGGGCGTTCTACTCGATAGCATTGTATTTCTTATCGGGCAAAAAATTGGGTTTCGCGCGGTAGTTCAGTAAAGATGCCGATTAAAACTATTTTTACATCAATATGGACGAGAATGACGAAATGTCGGATGTCGGATAACTGGTTCGAATCGGTAAGTTATCGGGATTAAACCGCGAGTTTATTTCTTATGTCCAGGTCGAATATCGAAATAAACACACGCAGAAAAACATTTTCTATCGCTCGATTCTCTCTTATATACTTTTCATCCTTTCGGTCTATAACTTTACGCTCATTCCTCCGAACGGGCATTCGGACAGACCCAGAATTTGATTACTTTTCGAAGATAAAAGCCAGGATTTTCATAAAATTTCCAAGTATAACTTAGAAAATTGATTGGCAAATTACATTTCGGTCGTCTCGGACAGGCGTTATACGCGGGTTTCTCCACCATTCGCTCATTCCGTTTGCTTAGATTTAGTCAATAGTGGTTTTTAAAAACATAAATTTATTGTTTTCGTCATAGAGGAGTTTATACGTAGGTAAACTGCGTGGAAATTTTATAATCGACAGAGAAGACAATAGTTTTTATCGGCGATTGTGAAAGTGCGATTAAATTATCAGCCATTATTATTACAATTTCTGTTATAAATAAAAATGACGATTTTATTGTTGGAAGCGACCAAAACGAATTCTTTATCGTATTTGTTATCTTTCGAAATTTGCTGTCCGTTTTCATACCAGGCCGGGATTTTTTACTCGGACAGAGGAATCTGAATGTCGATAAGAAAAAATGTTTTTCACTTAATTGTAAATACGATATTCGCGTTTTTCATGAACTATAGAGGGCGCCGCATTTTTACAAAATGGCTGGTAATTAGTAATGTAAAATTAATCATATATTACTGTCCGATATAATGATATACGCTGCCCGTAGCTGTTTATCGAGAAATTTTATAGAAGGAGAACAATTATTGTTAGCGGGACACGTCATTATGTGGTATGGAAACAAATGAGCGAGACGTTCTGTACATGTTTGTGCTTTTTGTGTTAAAAAACATCGAGTTTGACATTGTCCCATCGGGGCCGGATTTACAAGTGAAAAGCCTCGACTTTCGAGGGACCTCAAACATTTGTACAAAAAAGAAAATTGAAGTCAGGTTTTTACAAACCGACAAAATATACTTCACTGTTTATTTTGTGTAGTATTTCACTGATTTTTTCTAAGAATTAACATAAGATATTTTTTTTAAAAAATTGATAACACCAATTTAAAAAAAAGATTTTTAATGGAATGGGTACAAAAATTTAATTAAACTTAATTATAAAACAGAAGAGTAGTAAAACCTCGCGTCTTTTTCTTCCAATATCCGTATTAAATCAGAGTCTGATTTAATTCTTTTCTTTTTACGATTGACTTCTAAAATCGTGAAGGGTTGGTAAGGGGCCTTACAGATTTCGGCTCTGGGCTTCGAAATGCTTAAATCCGACCCCGTGTCCTACACAAAATTACCGGCATTTTAAACTTTAACAAAATATGTTTTAAAATTGACGGCGTAACTTGTTCGTGTAAAGCTGGATAATCGGGAAACTGCCAATTCTTAACAGTCTAATCCACTCTTTCAGAATTCATAAATATAACCCATCAATTTCCGAATAATCATCTGTTTTTCCCGTTTTTCGTGTGGGAATAGACGAAAACTTAAATCAGGCTCTCGTTTGGAACCAACAGTAAGCGTTGCTTTTTCTATCGCTTTCCATCTTTACCGCTGATAATACACAAGAATGAATCCAACCACCCAGATAGAATAGTTTTATTTTTAAACACCAGAGGGCGAGCATCCGGTGAAAAGTCGATAGGTCTACCGCTCTGTAAGCTGTGAGTTGCCGTTAGCTGGCGCTATAATAGTGTTTCTCAACGGGGGCGATATTGCCCCCATGTGGGCGTTTTTCCATGCTGAGGGGGCGATTAGTAACAATTTATATTTTCGGGGGCGAAAAACAATTTTCTGGCGGTATAGTAAAACATTATATTAAGAATAATTGAATATTTTATTGGTTATATCGTACAATAATTAAACAAATAACATTAAACTAGTCACTAGTCTATTCGATGCAGTACGAATTTGGCGTTAGTCTTGGCCCTCGGCATCGGAATTTTGAAGTGACGGGGGCGACGATTCGTTAGAGGTTGAGAAACACTGCGCTAGAATCTCATTAATAAACGCAACATCGATTGCGAATAATATACGTCGAAGCTCTTTTCTTACCACAGACTCAATATTAATTTAAAAAAAAACATATGGGCTTAACCTCGATAAACTGCAGAGCTACCCTAAATCCTAAATCTATCCTACGTTAACACTCGATTTAACATTTCTATACATTTCCATAATTTAATGTTTATAATTCTCATCAATCCCTTTTCTTCCTAATTTAGAGAGTTGTCGAGAAAACTCCAGGCATCTCACGCTAATAACGTATACATATTTTGACTACAAAAGCGTACTTTTAAAAGAAAATGGCGCGAGAACGCGTGTCCAGCACGAATTGACAACTCTACTTAAGTTTTGCGCTTATTCGCCGAAATGACTTTTTACGCTACGTTTTTCTGTTACCCGATAAATACGCCAGTCGTGTATTTACTTTTACGAACGCGGTTACGAATGACGAGGCGCGAGTTCTTAGGTGTTTGTAGAGTCGAGTGAAGGATTGAAGCGAGGAGTTAGGAAGGATTTTTTTAAATAGGAAATTGACTTCTATTTAGTGTGAGAAAGTCGAGTATGTCAGAAAACTCCGCGTGGTTAACCCATTGTTCGAGCGCCAACAATATCAGTGTTGGGTGTAGTCGGCGTGGTGCAATAAGCCCATTTGTTCTCTAATATTTTTACGACTATTGTGAAAGACCACGAATTAAAAATCATAGAAATAGAAATGAAATATTTAATAAATGTTAAAATATTCATTTTTCTAAGGAATAAAATGTGTTCCACATATTTACACCGAAATTGTGTTTGTAAACACGTTTTCTTATCGAAATGAATTTTATCAAACTAAACAGTTATAAAAACACGAGATAATATCTTATAATTAAGATAACATACGTCGATGCTCTTTCGAATCAATATTTATCGGGTTAAATACTCTGTTGGCTCTACTTATTTTCTTTTCCGGATGCTCTTTTCACCCCGGTCCGACCTATCGTTCCACCGGTTGTTCGTCCGGATTCGAACGCCAATCCGGGAATTTTTCGCCAATATATACGGGATTTACCCATCCCGTATATATTGCCTGGTTTACCTCACCCGGTGGACCTAGCCATGAAAATAAAGAAAGGACTTGTTACTTCCGACAAGACGGAAACTCGCTGGTTAATTTCATTTAAGAATAATCATATACTTTAATAAGAACTTAATTTAAGTAATTTTCTGACATTTTATAAAAGATACTCCCTCTGTCCCACAATAATAGTAGGGAAGAAAATAAATATACAACGCAACATTTATGGCGATAAAACTAGATTAAATGAAAATATTAGTCGTAATTTCATTTCGAGTGTTCTGGATATTTCAACAAGTTCATTACTGTAGGTAGGATCTGTTGGCTTCGATTCATCGACAACTCCAAGTTATAATTCAACTGAAATAAAACAATTGAGGATGAAATTACAAAAATACTTGTAATTCGTAATAATTAGGTTAAAGCAAAAATTGAAAAATGACGAATGTGACGAAAAACCATTTTGATTGAAGGCCGTATTGACCGATAATTCCTCGCTACTATTATTATGGGACAGAGGGAGTATTTAAGACGTAAAGAGAGAATATTTCGTATAAACGGTAAGTTGTACGAGGTTGTTTTTTCTTGTTTATTAACAAAAGGGAAAAAGAGTGCCTCCTTTTGTCTTTAAGAATAATAATAAGGAAGCTGGTTTGAATTTCGAGGTTCGACATTTATATTTATAAACCTAACAACGATTATTTTTGTTTATTTTAGCCATATGAAATTTTGTTTATTTTAGCCATATCCAAAACTTTATTTAATTCGATGGAAGAAACCATCGAATTAAATAAAGTTTCTATATACGAATCTAAAGTAGTACTAAAGGAAATTCAATACAATGGACCGAATGAATTAAAAACTAAACTTAATTAAGATGAAATCTCCTAGTTTTTCTTTCTTCTTCTTTAAACTTCTTATTTGACAATTATACACACTACTATACTGTATATAAAACACCGAACTTAGCACATCTCTGCGTGTAAACGGCTGCTTTCGATTCGACGTAAAGAAAAATATATGAGAATGGTATTATTCGCTCTGACCAGAAGCCCACCGGTGGCCGAGTGGACGAAATCACCGAATTCGCGCCTGACCCACGAGCTAGACACGTGGAATTTTCCGTGTTTCTTCACGCGTTTAACGCCTAACTAAAGGCTAGTTTTCTGTAGAAAGTCCTATAGGAGTCCTCGCGCTGCATTATCTTATCTCACCAAACTAGAGGCGTAGTAGTAAATTAAACGGTGTCGATGGCCATTGTCTATGGAAGCGCCACGGTCTAAGGAGTTTCGTACGGGCAAAGCGCCGGTTGGTGGCGCAATAACTGCGAAACGGCTTAAGTGTGCCAAGCGCGGCCTGTATATTGGTCATCTGCAAAAAGTAATTTTCTTAGTTTTTTTGGCCGAGGTATATTGTCTAAATGTTGGCAAAGAGTTCACGTGACTACGGCAGTGCGCTACACCCTACCTATTTAGTACGGAACAAAACCTATGAATACGTTCGACTTAAGAAAAGTGTTAAAAAAAGAAGTCTTATTTACCGAGCAAATACTTTAGTTTAAAGGTTTTATAGTTTATAAGAAAAGAAACAAACGAATGAAATATTTACGATTTATAGTTAAAAATATCTTTCTAAAATAAGAGTAAGTAAATTAGAATATTTCTGTGACGTCAGATAAATTGTCGATTGATCGACTGCTTAACACACTCAAATATCTATATTTATCATAGAATTAATGCTCGAGACGGTTCTGTTATAAATAAAATGTCGCAATTAACGTCGAGGCGGTTAAAGCCACTCTGAGGGAGCCGACACGTAATTTTTTATGGACGATCAGTGCTGGGTACGTGGGGATTCGTCCCTCACCACTTTGCTGCCCCACTAGTCAACCTGGCAGAACGGATTAATTAGATAAGGCCATCTGCCGAGAGAACTTTCTGTAGAAAACTGACCCTTATTTAGGGGTTAGACACACGAAGAAAATTTGAAAAGCTACACGCGGCCAGTCCGTTTTTCGGGCGCCAATCCGTCACCACTGTTCAGTGGTTTTATAAACGCGGCCACTCGTAGGTCTTCTGGTCGGAGCGAATAATGACGATTTTATACCATTCTCGTAGATAGGCTAATAACAACGTAATGGAAGGGAAGCGTGCACCAGATCTAAATCTCCGGACTTTGAACTGTTTATTTAAGTAACATATATAAACAAAAACGAAAACAAACCATATAAATCTGGTATAATAGCTGATAAATACTTAGATTTAGTATATGTCTCTTCAATCCGAATGGTTAGCAAACGGTAGACTTACTTTCAGCTCTGAGGTTAAGTATTCCTTTATTGTAAATTACATATGCATTTCAGGCTTGTATGAGCCCCTCTTCAGTGTAAATTCTACACAAAATTTAAAAACAAAAAATCAATTTACAATAAAGGAATACTTAACCTCAGAGCTGAAAGAAAGTCTACCGTTTGTTAACCATTCGGATTGAAGAGACATATACTAAATCTGAAAACAAACCAGGTTTATTTTAACTCGCAAACCTGTCTACGTCTCTATTTGTATTTAAAATTGAAAATTAACAAGGGTCTTTGCTACTTATTTTTGTAAATAAATAAATTAGGAAAAATAAATACGGAAGCGAGCTTTCAATGCCTTTATGCCCGTATTCAACATGTAAGCGTTTACTTTTCGTAGTGGTACAGAGGTGCAAAACCATTTTCACTAGTCGAGGAGGAATCAACTGTCGTGTTGCTTTGCCATTCGACCTAATCCAGGGGTAATGTAGATTATTCTATTGTAATTTGGACGTTGAGGATTCTATACAGAAACGATTTATCAGTTTTAATGCCGAGCAATGTTGCAACGAAGTTAATGTAGCGACTAATTAATCATTTCATCGGACATATTGATCTGCCGAATTAATTTTACAAAATAAATAGATAAATAGGAAGCATTTTCTACGTAATTATAAATATTTTTCAACTCTTAAATCAGAGATCGAGATGGCTCGTTATAATTTTTAAGTTTTTCATCCCGCTTGTAATAATGAGGAACGTTTTTAAATACTTGTCGAGTATCGGCCACCTGACGAGGAATGCGGAGGATTGAAAATTTCTGAAGATCGTGGCGTATGAAAACATAATGTAGAGTTGCTAGATATATATCCTTTCAGCTAACGATTCGCCCTCTTTAGTCCGGTTATTACTAAACTACGGGAATTTTATTCTTCTCTGTATAATAATATTTTATTTGTTTCGTTTGAAGGTTTGGTCTTCGCTGCGAAACACGCGTTGGCATTCTTATACGTAAAATTGCTGAGACTAATCGGTAAGAACAGGAAGGTCGAAGAGGACATTTATGGAGAAGTTACAAACGACTGTGTGTCGCTAGGAGTGTTGCCTCATTCTAGAGAATGGGAAAACGAATTACCTCGTCCAGACCATCCGTCTTCTCAGGTAGGTCATAATTAGGTGGTGGATTTGGGCCATGATTCGGATTCCTCTATCGCATCCTAATCAAAACACTTATTACTCACTATCTCGTTCTGAGAAACGGGTGTTTTGGCCTCACCTATTACGAATCCGGGCGAAAAGATTAACAACAGTCAAAAAAACATCTTTGGAAATATTTGAGAACTTTAACACGACTCAAACGTGTCCAATTGTAGTTGTTAAAATATTTTTCGTACTTTTTCTCGAAACGTAATCTGAGAAAACACAACAAATTTGTAATACGTATATTTTTTAAAGAGAAGCGACGAGATCGCCTTCCACGGTGTCAATTCGAAGGGAGCGTGTCTCGTGACGTATCTGATTCGAAGAGTGGACGATTTTGCCGACGTTTGGCTGTACCTGAAACTAGAAGACGGTCGATGTTACTCTCTGTTGCGTCAACCCATCACCGCCAATTACGTCGGCACGGAGCATTGTTTCGCGGCTCACGGACTGTCGGTCAGGTGTCTGAGTCCCATGCGTCGCTGGAGAATTGTCTTCAATGGACTCCTCAAGTAAGCACTTTTTAAATACTATTGGCGCGTGTATAGAAACGTCGCAATCGGAAAGCAGCTGCACCCCTTTTCCTAGTTAGCCGGGTTGTAAAAAATTTGTAAGGTTCACTGTTTCCTTTCTGCACTCCCTTCTAAAGATTTCTGGATCCTCTGTTAGTCACACGTAAAATTTGTATTTCGGATCGATTTTCCGGTTATCTTGCCCAATAGTAGAGAAATAACGGATAATCGCATAAGTATTTATCCGCGATGGGTACATTCGAAGACTTCTCATCGCCCTGCAACACGGTTTCGTTACTATGACACAGAAACTCACTGTTCTTTCTTTCTCTACGTAGCATATTTGAATGTCGAAAGAAGATTCTGAATTATCTTTAAGAAACATCAAGAAGTGGACTACTTTGCTCCGTTATACCGCATCCATATCTTTCTTACACGCTCGTTCTCTATCGGAATTGATGGCCAACCAATGACCGATATTCACTGATCGAGACGCCAAGATAACGACTAGCGTCGATAAAGTGTGACTTTGTACTTCATATAAACGTCATAAAGATAACTAGAAAATTATCATTTTAGAAAACAGTCTTTCTTTGCTTCAACAAACAATCGATAACGTTCGGTGTTTGTTACGATACCATAGAAAAATAAGTTTACTTTACAATCAACTGCTATAGTTTTTTTTTTAAAATAAAAACAATAGAAACCTGTTATCACAATAGAAACTTGATACCAGATTCAATACACGAAGAAGAAAATTCGAATTTCGGGAAATAGTGATAAGTAATTGCTGATTTATAGTTACAAATAAAAATAACACTTAAGATTAACTCTCTTCAGTCCATTGACAAAATAAGCTGTGCGTGTATACAGGCTACCACATAATATTGTATAGGGAAGATGACGGTCATCAAATAATGCTTCGGATACGGGTCTGGTTGTTTCGTGAAGCAGCAAATTCCTTTCATTGTTGAATCCACTTAGATTTTGTTTTTGCTCTTTTCGCCCTCGAGACACTAAGGGAAGTCTCACGGTTTCGGCCGGGTGCGTAATGAAGGTGGCCAGGTTGCGAGGGAACAGACCAGATTTCTGCGCCGAGTCTCAATAGTCATCCGGCCAGTGAGACTCGGTGTAGTCTATCACTTCAGGTTTTAGCCTTCCACCTCGGGGGCCTCGGGAACGAATCTGCTCGGGACAAAAAATTTTAGGAGTTTATCGCGGTGGTCCATACGTCTCTTACCATCTGGCAGCCCATTGTTGCTATGCCAAATCCACGTTGGGTTTGATTAAAGGGTCTTCAGTGCCTACGGGGCAGAAAGAATGAAAAAAAAAACAGATAAAAAACAAATAATTTATCCGTGCATTACGAAAACCGAAAGAAATCTCTTTTGCTTGTCAATTTAATAAGTTTCTATTCGTTTAAATCTCTGGAAATACCTCCAATATTTGATACGATGCCGAAATTGGCGGAATAGAAATTTCATTTCCATAATTACCTCACTCTTAAATTCTTTTTCTTATAAAATATTCAATTTTATATTGACAGGACTGTACCTGCTAAGGATCCTCCGACCGTAACCCACGTGAAATTTCAGTTTACGTAAGTATTCATTTTCCTTTTCACGGAACCTTAACCGATTAACCGAAGTTACTTTTTCCACCGTTTCGTTTGAAAATAGAAAAAAAATCACGCGTGAAATTCAAATGTCTTTCATGTAAATTGGTGATTTTCAAAGTCCAAAATGTCACAGATTACTTGACACGCAATCATATACCGGCTACCCAACTGGTATACTAAAGTCTTAGCAGGTAGGTAGCCGGGTTTTAAGAAAATTTGGAAATCACTGGTTTAATGTCCTTCGTTTCGTCCAATCGTTCGAACTATGATCGGTACACTCCGTCAAATTGTACTTAAAACTGTTGTGTTGGTAATCTTCCTCTACGAAGAAAGTCCGGTTCCTACCTTAACGGTTCGTACTTAGACAATTGAATAGAAGAAAGAAAATCAAATGGAATTTGAATTTTTAACGAGGAATTGTCATATTCGACAGGTGGAATGCCACCAGCAGCGTCTACGACTTATTTTACGACACTCCCGTCGATCTAGTTGCTTCGGCTATGGCCGCGGAAAAGTGGAAAAGTAATCTTCCCGACGTAGAAAAGTAAGTACTTTTAATTTCCACTTAATAACTTCTTATTCACACGCGTAATTTTAAATTAATTTAATTATGCCCACGTGTTTATTTTCTTCGTAATTCACCGTCGAATTTCAAAAATAGAAAGGTGCATTCGGATTGAAGGTAATATTTTAATTGAAAGAGCCAATTTTTTCCGCAAGTGTCGCTAATCCCCGAACGGTAAGAGCCTGTACACACTAGGCGTTTTTCAACGCGCGTTAAACGCGCGCTTTTAAACGAACGTTTAACGCGCGTTTAAGACCCTGTACACACTAGGCGTTTTTCAACGCGCGTTTTAAAGAACCAAGAGTTCTATGTAGCCGTACACACTCAAACGCGCCCTTTTGGCCAAGCGTGCGTTTATAGATTTTTGTTAAAACGCGCGTTTTGCGGGCGTTAGCCGAGCCCTTGGAGATATATGTGCTGCCATGTTACCGTACATGCGATCGCGCGTTTTGCGGGCGTCAGCCAAGCGCTTTGAGATATATGTGCTGCCATGTTACCGTACATGCGATCGCGCGTTTTCCCGGCGCTTCTAGATTTACGCCGCCATTTTGCTGTATATTAGATCGCGCGCTTTTGGGTAATATCTACTTTTATAATATGGAGTAAGTCGTCAAATGATTTTATAGACATTCTAAAATAATTAAAAAACTTGGGTTCATATTGTCGTAGTTTTGGATACAACGTCACAAACATTCCATGGGTCAGTCTATCTCGTAATATTGGGTGCACCCAAAATTCTCTTTGCCTCTGCCGTCGTCTTTTATAGCGACGATAGAGGAGCCACACACAAGCAATCACTTCCACATCCATTTCCAAACCGAGCCAGTGCGCACGCTCCGCTAAA